TATCCCATGAAGGGACGCATAGCCATCGGGTCGTGCATAACCTTCTTACCCTTATGCTCTGCAGCTGCGGTAGCCTCAGATTTAATACCAGCACCGACGAAAATGCCGTGTTGCCACGAAAATGACTCAATAACCAGCGGTACTCCAACTGGACGACGACCACCGAACACGATTGCATCGATCGGTACTCCTTTGGGTGATTCCCAGTCTGGATGAATGATAGGGCATTGTTTCGCCGGCGTCGTGAAACGAGCATTCGCATGCGCCGCCTCACCCTTATCACCGATCTTCCATTTCTCACCCAACCAATTCACCATTTCAACTTTAGGGTCCTTAAATCAAGCCTCATAAGCACTTAAACGGCATTTCGATGAATAACAGTTGACTTTTAAAAAAACAAACATAAACATGAATGAATCGATTGCACGATTTTAGCGCTGAATCGCAATTTCGACGGTAAAATTCCGAGAGCATCTTGTAAAATCTAAGAAATCGGAATTACGTTGCGGGACTGGCGTGAAGTAAAAGAGTGTTTATTATTAGATCACAACCTTGAGGTCACATTCCATTCCCTCCCAGTAGTATTCACCATTGGCCGTCTCAGCAACATTCGTGAAAATGCTATTCTTTTGGAATGTTGCAACAGCCATCGGATTGGTTTTTGTCGATGTGCCCGGGCATACACCAAAGAAACCGGCTTCAGGATTCAGACCGTATAGACGGCCGTCCGGTCCGAATTTCATCCAGCCGATATCGTCACCAACGCAACGAACTTGCCAACCAGGAATGGTTGGTTGAAGCATTGCAAGATTTGTTTTGCCACATGCTGACGGGAATGCGGCAGCAATGAAATGCTCTTTTCCGCCTGGTGGAGTGACACCTAAAAACGAACCTTGATTACATCCGAGTTCTGATACAATTCCACATAAATGTCTCTATATGAAATGTAGAATCTTTTGTGAGGTTTTCAAAGCGAAACTTTGTAGAATGAATGATAAGTTGTAGATTTGTCGAACAATTTGTAAATCATTGTAGAATTTATGGAACAATCGTATGATCTCGAATTAGCTTCTAAGCAGATACAATTGACAGTGTTCAAAATCATTTCAAGCAACTTATTGTTCACGGGATTCGTGAAAATTGTATCGTTAGTGATTGGAAAGCAGACGAACAGGCAATAACACAATCGCTCGAGGCAATTCGAGTAATAAAGCTCAAACTCGTAAGTGCAAAATCTGACCCATAACAAGCATATGCTCGGCCAACCATCCTTCATCCCTTGCAATATTCGATGCGATACGCAACGCAAAGCACTTCTTACCCAGCAGTGAATTACCGCCGTAACCTGAGCCATACGACCAAATTTCACGTTCGGCCGGACGATGCGCAATCATAGTTCTTTCCGGATTGCATAGCCAGTTGCTGACAATGGTTCTAGTGACAGGCTCAGGACATCCAACCGAATGAATGCACCGAACATATTCACCACTGCCGATCGACTTGAACACTTCCAACGAGACACGCGTCATGATGATCATACACATAACCACATACGCCGAGTCGGTCAACTAGAATTCGATTACGTTTATAATACTTTTCGAAAGCCTTATTGTTAGTGTTTTCTTCATTGAGTTTTTAGTTACTCTTCGATATTATAAGTTTTTTTCGCGTAACTACCTCATTTATGTTACGATCATCAAATGTTTTACAAGATTACGAGATTTTTGTCACTACCAGATCTTAAGGAATGAAATTCGAAACTAAATACTGACTCGGCGGATTATGGCTGAAAAATGTGGTCCATACTAAAGGAACTGAGTCAAATGAGTTTTAGAAATGAAGACAGATAAACCACAAAGCAC